ATAAAAAAAGTGACCAAAAAACGCCCTTACAAAAACTGTGGTCCAATTTGCTTCAACAGTGTAAAACAAATTCCTTTGCGATCCTCAAAGGCAATCAGATAACTCCCTGGACCATCGATACACAATGGTATTTCTTTGAAATACTATTAGTTATTTATAATTTTTTTTTGGTGGGGCAGTGTATTGCTAGTGTCCCAACCCTTAATTCCCATGTTAAAATAAAAGCAGACATACCATAGTAAGAAATGCTTAGCCAAAAAATGAATGATGCAATGATAAATAGAAAGCATACACAAAACAGTGTAAGAATACAGACTGCAGCTCCTTTTAACATTGAGTGTACAGAGTGCAGTGGTCAGAAGAATTTAACAGTGTCCCTAACATCAGTTCTAGAACTGGAGTCACTGGGGTAAAAAAACATAGTTGCCAACATTTGAATTAAATAGGTGTGACACCTTTGAGGGATTGAGATGAAAAATGTGGCATGTTGCTATCCACCATGCACTCGTGGGCCATCCACCATGCACTCGTGGGCACAGCTAAAAATTGAGCATGGTTAATGAAATGGGTGTTGCTTTACAGTGTATGGTTGTAGTGTGCCATCTTTCTTTCCTTGCTTTGCTATGGTCCTGAGGGTTACACTGAGGAGATTGCTGAGATTTAACCACTTCCCCGCCACCCTATAGTAGAAGTACTGCTACAGGGCGGCAGAGCTGTGCAATATCATATTTATACATGATTTGCATTTCTGGGTAGGGGGCACATGAGCTGCACTGCTATTGGTGGCTAGGGATGTCAATCACCGGGTCCCAGCTGGAAATTCTCTGCCCAGCAGAGAAATACAAAGCAGAACGTCTCCGTAGTAAAACACACACAGCACATAATGTAAAACACACACAGCACACAGTTAACCCTTTGATCACCCAGATAACCCCTTTCTGCCCAGAGTCATTAGTACAGTGTCAGTGCTTTTTTTACCACTGATCACTGAATTAGTGTCACTGGGGATGTCAGTGGCAGTTAGTTGCCACCCAGTGTCAGAATGCCCGCCAAAGTCCCACTATAATTCGCTGATCGCCACCATTACTAGTATAAAAAAAAATTCCAGTATATATACCACCATTTGTAGATGCTATAACTTTCACGTAAATCAATTAATATACATATATGGGGATTTTGTTTAGCAAAGACATGTAGCAGAATACATTTTGGCCTACACTTATGACAAAATTTGATTTTTAAAATTTTTTTACATGTTGAATAGCAAAAAGTCAAAAATGTAGTTTTTTTCTCAAAATTGTTAGTGTTTTTTTGTTTATAGTGCAAAAAAATTAAAAATGCAGAGGTGATCAAATACCACCAAAAGAAAGCTCTATTTGTGGGAAAAAGACATAAATTTAATTTATGTACAGCGCTGCATGACTGCTCAATTGTCGGTTAAATGAATGCTGTGCTGTATCTCAAAAAATGGCCTGGTCAGGAAGGGGGGTAAATCCTCTGGAAACAAAGTGGTTAGAGATGGTATATGCTGTATGCAGCATACAGTGCTGTGAAAAAGTATTTCTCCCCTTCCTGATTTTTGTTTGCATATTTGTAACACTTAAATTATTCAGATCATCAAACATATTACACAAAGGTAACAGAGTAAATACAAATGCATTTTATAAATTATTATTTAATTTATTAAGGGAAAAAAGCTTTCCTAACCTGCCTAGCCCTATGTGAAATAATAATTGCCCCCCTTGCTAAATCATGAATGAACTGTGATTAACCAAATTTTTTGGAAATCTGAGTTCAAGTTCACTTGCCAGACCAAGGCCTGATTACTGCCAGACCAGTTGAATTAAGAAATCACTTAAATAGAAGCTGCTGACAAAGTGAAGCATGCTAAAAGATCTCAAAAAGCAATGCATCATGCCACAATCTAAAGAAATTCAAGAACAGATGAAAAACAAAGTAATTGTATCAGTCTGGAAAATGTTACAAAGCCATTTCTAAGGCTTTGGGACTCCAGCGAGCCACGTGAGAGCCATTATCCACAAATGAAGAAAACTTGGAACAGTGGTGAACCTTTCCTAACAAAATTCTCCAAGAGCACAACGATGACTCTTCAAGGAGGTCATAAAAGAACATAAAACAATATCTAAAGAGCTGTAGAGCTTACTCGCCTCAGTTAAAGTGTTACTAAAGCTAGGACCCTGCATTCACTATATCTGGTCTCCCAGGACCCTGCATTCACTATATCTGGTCTCCCACAATACACAGAACATGGAAATGCAATTATTTTAGTAAATATAAACTGCTAAATACCTTTTCTCATCAGCAGTTAGAGCAGTCTTGTGACTTCTGTCAATGTCAAGCTGAGCACAGGTTAAAGCTTGTAGGAGGAGTTTTCATTCTCCTCCCACTGCCCTATGAGATTGCATAACCCCTGATCCTGTGTCTGGTTAGTGCTGATTGGCCCTGTGCTGATCACATGCATTCTCCCAAGAAAAAACTCTCTAGCAATACACACCAAACTGCACTGCAGAGTGTCCAAAAGGCTCTGTTCTATCAGGAGTTGAAATGGGAAACGTGGAAGAAAGGGAAATTCAGAGAAGACAGGATTAACCTCCCTGGCGGTTTTCCCGAGTGTAGCTCGGGGTAGAATTTCTATACCACAAGCGGTAACCCCGAGCTACACTCGGGCTTACCATGCGGCGCTGCTCTGGGGGTCCCTGCAGCACTTACCTTGTCCTTCGTTCCCACGATGTGTCCCCTGCAGCGTCCCGGCCATCTCCTCCGGCCGATGCCGGCATCCGGCTTCTGTGTTCCGGTCCCCGTGACGTCGGGACGTACGGGCGCCGCCGGAGGCGGGAAATTTAAAAAAATTTAAAAAATGTCATTTTTTTTTTTTTTCAATTTTAAATAGTAAAACATTGCTGTTTCATCCCATTCACATACATATTGTCCCTAGTGCTTTGTCCTGTGCCCTGCCTGCATTTTGTCTGTTCTTTCTGCCTGGAAACTTAGAACAGTCCATGGCGTCCAAAAAGCGTCCCTTTACGTCAAAAGCGGTTTTAGACCGGCTAGAGAACAGCGATAGTAAATCAGAACCACTTACAGAATTGAGTGATAATGATTTGTGGGGAAATTTTCCTAAAAATTACAGCCTACAATAAAAAACTATTTCCATGCGAAAAAATGGTACCGCTTTCAGCACAAAAAATCGGAAGGAATCATACCGCTAGGGAGGTTAAACATCCTTTTTACAAAATGCAGAAGATTAAACCTTTAAGATCCACAGTGAGTATAACACGCAAACTTTACTACTTATACACACTGATTTTACTGTTGTGGGTTGAGTAATACTTTAAGGTCAATGTTTATGATTCAACAACAACAAAGATTGGGCAAAAATGGCATCCATGGCAGAGTTTTAAGGCAAAAGCACACAAAAAAGAACACAAAGGCTCGTCTCGCATTTGCCAAAAAATATCTTGATTATCCCCAAGACTTTTGGGAAAATATTCTGTAGACTGATGAGACAAACGTTGAACTTTTTTGGAAGGTGTGCGTCCCGTTACATCTGGCATATAACTAGCACAGCATTTCATAAAAAGAACATCATACCAACAGTTAAACATGGTGGTGGTAATGGGATAATGTGTGGGGCTGCTTTGCAGCTTCAGGACCTGGACAACTTGCCATAATTGATGAAACCATGAATTCTACCAGAAAATCGTGAAGGAGAATGTCCAGCCATCAGTTCGTGACCTCAAGCTCAAGCACACTTGGGTTATGCAGCAGGACAATGATACAAAACACACCAGCAAGTCCACCTCCGAATGGCTCAAAAAAAACAAACACAATTAAGGTTTGGAGTGGCCTAGTCAAAGTCCAGACGTAAGTCCAATTGAGATACTGTGGCATGACCTTAAACAGGCCATTCATGCTCGAAAACTCCCCAATGTGACTGAATGAAAACAATTCTGCAAAGAAGAGTGGGAAAACTCCTCCATAGCGATTTGAAAGACTCATTGTCAGTTAGCGCAAACACTTGATTGCAGTTGTTGCCGCCAAGGGTGGCACAACCAGTTATTAAGTTTAGGAGGCAACTTTTTCACATAGGCCAAGCAGGTTTGGACAGCTTTTTTCCATTAATAAATAAAATCATCATTTAAAAACTGTATTTTGTTTTTACTTGGGTTATCTTTTGTTTGATGATCTGAATCATATAAGTGTGACAAATATGCAAAAAAAAAAAATCAGGAAGGGGCAAATACTTTTTCACAGCACTGTATGTCAGGTACAAAGAAAGTTTAGCAGCACCTGATGCCACCGACCTTTGATGCCTAGTATACTGTAATGTCTATTAAATATTAAACATTGTCCCTGGTCTTTTTATATTTCAATGGTTTTTATTAACCACTTCCAGACCGGACACTTTTACCCCCTTCCTGACCAGGCCAATTTTCAGCTTTCAGCGCTATCACACTTTGAATGACAATTGCGCGGTCATGCAACACTGTACCCAAATGAATTTTTTACCATTTTTTTGAGACAGATAAAGCTTTATTTTGGTGGTATTTATTCACCACTGGGATTTTTATTTTTTTTTGCTATGTAAATGAAAAAGTCCAAAAATTTTGAAAAAAAGTTTTTTTTTTATAAAATTTTGCAAATAAATAATATTTCATCATAAATCTTTGCCAACATTTATTCCGTTATCTTTTTAGTAAAAAAAAAAATCCAAATTAGTTTATAACCAAAAATTATAATTTTTAAACCTTTTTTTTTAACATTTTTATTTTATTTTTTTATATTCTTATTTTTATTTTTTTATTTTTTTTTACATACTGTCACCCTAGCAGTACAGTGTCACCATGGTGACACTGTACTACTTGTGGGGGATGATGAAAATTTTTTTTTTTTTTACACTGATTGCTTTTACACCCATATAGGATGTAAAAGCAATAATTTCTCTTTCTCTCTGTGTGCATTCTTGCACTCATTGAGAAGTACTGAGTGAGCTGTGATTGGTCACAGCTTGTCACATGGTACAAGGCTGTTGTGAATAGCCTTGTACCATGTGACCTCTGTGATCATTCACAGATTTCACACGTAGTAAGCAATGATGTCACAAGTGACATCTTGCTTACTACTTCGCATGTGATCACTGATTAGCATGTGATCACTGTGTCCGGGGGACACAGCGGGCACCGGATCGCGGTGCTGCGCGCGCTCCCAGGGAGCGCACACAAGCAGGGTGCGGGGAGGCCGTTTATAAACGGTCACCTGACCCTGCACTGCCATCGTCCGGCCGTTTATATGCAATGGCCGGTCGGGAAGTGGTTAACAAAACACGCCCACGCAGGGGCTATCAATTGCACAGATAAAAAATGCAAAATAGAAAAAACAGTGCTCTAAAGCCAACAGGGCAAAAGGTACGCCCACACAGGGGCTATCAATGGCACATAAGTTACAATACCATTAATGTAACTCTGACTATAACAACTAAAGGCAGCTGTCCACTGTCACAACAAAAACAAACAGAGAAAGAGAGAAAGGAAGAAAAAGGAAAAAAAATAAAATAAGAGCAGGGGTCCAAGACGCCAATACCGAACGCCATTACATCCCCAGACTAGCCAGGGGGAGCGTGGGAAAGGCAACCACGGCTCCCATATTTTAAAAAATTTACGTTGGGAGTCGTTGCAGATACTCAACATCTGTTCGTTGAGCATCATAGTGGTCATACGATCCCGCACCCCCTGAAGAGGGACAAACGGACTCTTCCAGGCCTGAGCAATTGTCCTAGTGGCCGATAAAAACAAATAGGAAGCCAACTTCTGCTGGTGAGCCAAGAGGCCCAGTATGGGGCAATGAAGCAAGGCATACCGAGCATCCTGGCGTATGGAGAGATGGAACAAGGTGAAAAGGAGGCCAAACACACGAGACCAAAAATGAAACAGTCTCGGGCATGACCACCAAATATGCAATACATCTCCACGATGGCCACAACCCCGAAAGCATCGATCACTATAGGCAGGGTTAGCCTGGGCGTCCCTGGTCTGTTTGAGAGAAAAATACACACCGACTGTATTCAGCATCAGCCAACCCATGAGTATTTGTTTTTTTTTTATAACCAAGGAACCAATAACAAACAAGCATGTGGAAAAAGCATGCAAATAGCATCCTTGGATGAAGCAGAACTCAGGTCACATGTATCGTAAAGCAACATTGCTAACCCTAAAATTTTTTTCATTTATAAGCAAATCGACAGCTTAGAACTGAGCTCCTGATTTAAAAAGCACAGTCTTGATAGCTGCTGCTTAAAGTTTCCAAGTTGTCAGAGCCACAGTTTATGATGTCCCCCCCCCTCCTACTCCCAACCAACTTGGCAATGCCTGGTTCTCAAATTACACTCTGCAGCCATTTGACTGGCTCCTTCCAATGACACCATTAATAGAGTACTATTCCTTTCGCTGACATCATTGGTGGGGCACTAGCTGGCCCACTGACAGAAATGATGGAGCACTATTCCTTCCACTGAAACAACGATGGGGCACTATTCCTCCCACTGACATCAATGATTAGGCTCTATTCCTCACACTGACAGCAAGAATACATTATTATTTCACCCACCACTGACCAAAGGCACTAGATAATTTTTGTACTCTCACTGACCACAAGACTGGGGCATTGTTTAATACCACTGACCCTGGGGCATTTTCTACTACCACTGGTCCCTAAAGTCTTAAGAACAGTAAACTGACCCATTCTCCAGGATGTTTGAGGACCCTTGTTCTAAGGCATCGGGCAATGCTATGTAGAATGTGGGGGGGGGGGGGGGGGGGGGGAGGGGGGGGAGGCATTGTGAAAACTCCAAGGAGTGCTACAGTATCAGACTGTAAAACAAAATGTATGTACTGACACCTTATTCTGGCAGCTATGGTTAATATTTAATTATTGTTACTGTTTGGCTCCATTCACACCTGCAATTTTGTATGTCTGTGGATTCCTGTAGCAGGAATGGGACCAACTGTTGGATCTCAGTCTGTACAAAAGCTGAAAGGACGCGATGTCTGCCACTGTTCACACATATCCAATGGTTATCTGCAGTTAGGGACAGATGATTGGCCCTGGTGGTTGGGCAAACACTTTAAAATGAAAAAAAAACCCCATTAGCATTACATTATTGCAATATAGGCACATTGTCCCATGTTTTATCCCTTTAAAGACCCTGCAGGTACTTATATATTAGAGTGGAGCTCCACCCAAAAGGGGAAGTTCCGCTTTACATTTTTGTCCCCTGCTCCCTGTTAAGGATTGGCACCTTCAGGGAGTGTGTACCTGAATTTGACAGATACCCACTCCCACTTTCGCCACGATCGCCTAAGGCGATCGGAAGCAGAAGTTGTCCTCCCCCCTCCCTCGCCGTAGTCTTCTGGGATCTGTCACGTGACCATTCACAAAGTGCAGCGCTACTGGGCATACACAGTGGGCACCCGGCTGTGAAGCTGCAAGCAGTCACAGCCAGGTGCCCACACTGAAGGTGCTGGGAAGAGAAGATGGCTGGGGAAACCAGCTGTGGTGAAGACACCACTGGACCGAGGGATGGGTAAGTGGCTGTATTTTAAAAGTCAGCAGCTACAGTTTTTGTAGCTGATTACTTTTTTTTTTTATTCAACTGGAACTTCGCTTTAAGGTTTTGCAACAAATGGTGGTTTTATGTGCATCTGGCCTTTCTTAGTCCTGTGTTGTTCAAAGGACATACCTTTTGATGTGCCAGAAATGTAATGGGTTGACAACACATGACATTTTTGTGGACTGAATGGTGTCAGCCCTGCCCAGCTGTCTTTTGCTCTACTACTCAGACCCTTCCACTTTTTTTCATCTTTCCAGTTTAAACACTAATCATTCCCAGATAAGAACTTGGAGGCTAAATATTTTCCGTCAGATAATACAGAAAGTAGGGAAATGTGCACAGACAAGACATAGGAAAACTCTGACAATATCACGTTTTTCTTTTGGTACTTATTGAACATACTTTACGAAACAAAATATTTCCAATAGTAAATTTTACAGTCCAATAGGGACCAAATAAGACAAGAACATTGTGAGGGGAACACTTTCTGTGTAAAAGTCATATGTTATGCAAATGGCCAGCACAGTGGCTAAGTGGTTAGCACTTCTGCCTAGCAGCACTAGGGTTGTCGGTTCAAATCCCAACCACAGCACTGCTTGCACATGTGACGGACGCGGCGTCAGACCCCCAGCCCTTCTCAACTCGTGACCGAAGGACTAGCCAATCTAAAACCGCGCTGTCACGTGCGTAACAATGCCATGCTCAGCTGCACCCTGCACAAAGATTTTCCAGCTAATGAACCACAATCTATGTACCGCAGCCTGAGAGCGATTGTTACTGGGTCAGGTTAATTACGCAATTAACCCTTCACACTACCACCACCTCCTTTTTGTACAGAGAAAGAGAAAACTCACCAATCTTAGCAGTAACACTATGATGTTTGAATAATCGTCTGTATACACACTGTCACCACAGGCAGATGTATATAGAGGTTTAAAACACACAGTAGCACTCTTCAGAGACAGGGATTCTTAGTTTGCATTAAAGAGCTTTAGAAACAGTTCAACACTTTTCATAAAATAAGATTTATTACTAAAAAGGTCAAAATGGTGCAATAAAAGTATTTACAGAAAAAGATGTAGCCAATATATATATATATAAGAGAGCAATACCACAACAGAGAGAAAACAGGAAGAAGTTTAGAGAGGTAGAATACTTGCCATCAGCATTGGTTTTAGCAGCGTTCAAGTGTCAGAGCAAAAGGGTGCCTTTTCTCCAAAAAAGTTGGTTCCTGATGTTAAAAAGGGAGAATTCTTCAACTTCCACTTACTGCTCCAAGCATAACAGCCTTTTCTAGGAACCCAGCAGGGTGTCTCCTTAAAGCAGAGAACCAATCGCCTCATTTGGGGAGGGGTGTTTTAGGCGGGGAACTCAGGCTATGACCAAATCCCTCCCAGTTTATATGATGGTCAGTAACCTTCCCTAGGTACATGGTGCAGCCTAGCCACTAGTAGATTAATATGCAGAATGATATCCTGAACGTCCAGACATCAAATATGCCATATTTTACTATTTCAGCTAGAACTATATGGCTTCCTACTCTCCTGTAGACTTTAACTAGGGGTGTAAGATATCAGGTGACTCACATTAAAATGACCAATCTGAATATATGTTTTGCTTTATGGTATGTATTACCTACGAGAAATTACGAAATTGTATGAAAAAGTGTTTTCACATGGGATATATGTTTTGCTGCTATCCTGGAATGCTTTTGAAGTCCAGTGACTGCCAGGTTTATGGCTTTACGATCAGCTTCAGAGCAAGAGTTTGCCAGACACCCTGGCATCAGCTAATTGGGTTTACAACCATGAAGGATATCCATCTGTGTCCTGTGCACTTCTGAACCCAGCACACAAGGACCACATGTCACTCAACAGAGAGGGGGGGGGGACTGATTTAGAGTGAGGATGACCCAAGATGGAGGATTGTTAGCAAAATGGATGTTCGCATTCATATTTGTACGTACAATTGCTACAGCACAGAGTTTGCATGTTCTCCCTGTGCCTGTGTGGGTTTCCTCCCACACTCCCAAGACATGCTGGTAGGTTAATTAGTTCCTATCTAAATTGGCCTCAATATGTGTATGTATGAATGTGAGTTAGGGACTCTTAGATTGTAAGCTTCTTGAGGGCCTGTTCACATTATTGCAATGCGGGAAACCTTATGTGATTTGGACAGGAATCACACCACATTCCTGTTCAAATCACATGTGATTCTTTGCAATGCGATTTAAACCATACATTTTGTATGGTGCAAATCACACTGCACCCGCAGGAAAAGAGCGAGCACCTTTTTTTTGCACTGGAATCTAATCTCATTGGTGTTCACATCCTTTTGATTCACCCCAACCGCACTGCCTTCTGTGAACCTTTTTAGGGTGTTGCTACTTTAACATAGACACCCGCAGTGGTTTGTATGAACGAAGTGCAATTCTGATGCAGTGTGGGAAACGCACAGAATTCAATGTGAATCACGCACCACATCAGTGTGAACCGGCACTGAGGGCAGGGACTGATGTGAATGTACTAAATACTGTATATGTAAATTGCTGTGTAAATTGACAACACTATATAAGAACCTGTAATAAAATAAATAAAAACATGTTCTTTGTATAAAGCAGAAAGTTGCTGAGTTTCAGAAT